TTAAAGTCGTGTTATCTATTCTTTGGTCTTCTGATACAAATTTTTATCACAAACTTGTACTTTGTAATTCACTTACGTCACAATTTTTTCCATGTCAAATTATGAAAGTTTTTAAGTTTTGTATTAATTCCGGATGGGTTAAATGTTTGGCGGCTTTACGGTTTGTTCCTTTATGAGGTAAAATTGTGTAGTTTTCTGTTGCTTGCAATTATTTTAATGTTAATTTTTGATTATGTTCATTACTTTCTGATTTGAAATTGTACAGTCTTATTCATACATAACTACAGGCCTTATCAAGTAAAGAAATATTGGCGAGTATTAAATTCACATCTGCTGAAGTAGAAATTGAGGAGCCCACATCAAAGGCACCAGATTTTTTAAATTTGAAAACAGACGATGATAACAAGGTTATGAATAACATTTGTTTATCGAGACTATTCCCACTACATATAGGCTTGTGACATGCTGTGTTTTCTTCGACTATATTTTGTCTTTGGCAGAAACATCTTTCCTCTTTGTACTTCGAATAGTTACAGAAGCGCTAACTCTTTTGGAAATAGATCGGTGATGGAAAATTTAATTCACGTGGATTACTTAACTTAAGTGCCTGCAAAACGATGATTAAATAATTTGAGTTACTTTTGAAATGTAGACGAGAGTATGGCCGAATGATGTAATCTATGAATTATAAGAAATAATATAGAAATCCTTACTTTACTTAATGTTACATCTTAAAGGTTTTGCCTCTGGATCCAGATCACAAATGCATCGGAATTCGATCCGCGAACTCCTACACATTCTGATTCTGACCTGTTTTGCTTGGCACGTCGTATATAATTCAGCAACACAATAGTTATATGGACATCGTGTTACTGAGTCAGTAAGTGTTGTGGAACCATGTTTTCAAAGTGGTTATAGGATTCTGCCCACACCAGTTGCAGCAGTAGTTAGAGGGGTTGTGGACATGGTAAAGGGTAGAGAGGGAGGGACTTGTCAGGATGCGTTAAATAAATGGAGAGTGACGAGAAGTGTAACACAACTTAATGTTTTGTTAGAAGCTTCATTCGTCCCCTAATCACTCAACATGTCAATGTTGTCAGCAACCCGGCTTGTTACAGATACCCCCCTCACAGCAGAGTGGGGGTAACTCGTTCCTGACATTGTATCTAGCAAACGAATGAAATGCCTTTCTCAACACTCGTCTTTCTGACGATGGATAGAATCACAGGAAACAGTAAAATTCTGACATAAAAATTAGGGTAGAGAATCGACATTTCAACTCGTCTAATATCTGCGTAGGATTGTAAAGAACAATTAATATTACCAGGCCTACATGTGGTTCATAAAGAAGAAACTATATATTACAGAATTTGGCTTTCTAAAGAGGGTAGCAGCCATGATCTTTACTCACGTTTATCATTCAATTTTGACAGAACGTATACACTAAATTTTGCTAGGAATAAGATAGCGAATATTTGGTATGGACACCGGAACAGTCATTGCACAGATTCTGAACCCTTAGGGTACAAGACCTGACTTCCAGGTTTTGGGAATAAACCACTACTTGTCTGTAGCACATAAAGTATAATTCTGAGGAAACAATTAATTTCGTAAACTCCGAGAAGTTCGAATTAGTAGCCAATAGCGTTAGAAGTTTTCAGGGAGTTATTATTTTCATGCAGTTGAAAATGACATGATCGTGTTAATACGTGGTCTCGGACTTCTAAATTCGGGAGTACTTTTCGTAGTTTCGTGACAGCCATGGGCAGAATTCGCAGTTCTGGGACAAATTAGGAAGGTAAAGTTCTCAGACGAAAGTTTTGAACGCATTTTTCATCTGTAGACCGTCATGTCCTCTACATGTTCCACCAATTTCATCCTTCCTAAGTTATTCACCCTAATATTTTTAGTATGTAATTGGTACATATATGAAGCACCTCATTATACAGTTTTCTCCAGCCCCATATTACTTCCTGTCCCTTAGGTCCAAATATTGCCCTAAGCACCCCGTTAAACAAAATGCGATTCACCAAAATCAACGCTACAGCCCATGATTCTTACATCTCCTCGAGATTTTTGTTCACAATCGGTGCAGGCATGCGATGTAGCCTATGTGCCTTTCTCCTAGCCGCTTTAAATACGATAAGAATTACTTTCTGTTAATATAATGAATTTATTACAAGTTAAATTATCAAAGAATAAGCCACGAGTATATTTTATTCTCCAAGAAAAATACAGAACACTTGGTTAATGTTCTTTAAAGAAATAATCGCTGTTTACTCTGATAATGTTCAATGTTATTGAATGTTAAAGTATGTTGCCATTTCCAGGGGGTAGAAACACTAATTTTATTGTAAAAAGCGTCTGAAGAGAATCATGACAGACGATCCGGCTGAAATTGAAACCTGATCGTCTGTAAACAAACCGCCTCGGTGCGGTATATAACATCCTGGCATATTTAAGCACACAATAACCGAGAATGTCTCTCATGTCGACTGTGAATACGTAGATGCACTCTTGCTTGGGGGCTGGCAAAGGCCAGAGCTTCCTTCTCTCCGTTTTACTCTCTGACTTACCCGCGCAGTAATGAAGATTTATCTGCGGTTTCCGCGCTTGTTACTCTATGAACCAGCATCCAGACAGGAGAGACATACGGACAGGCCGCGCGACAGGGCCTGATGGATGGTGCCCATCTCCGGCTACAAATCCCTGCCTCCTCTCTGCCCGCTTCGCACATAATTACAACGGGACCGGGGCGGCATGGAATAACAGACCCCTACTTTCTCTCTCTTGGTAGCCCAGTATTGGTTAACTGTCATCCCAGACGCTTGACTTACTACTGCGCACAATAAAATACATATACAGTAATGTAATATAATGTAATGGAGATTTCTGTCTTCTGGGTTTTTGCGCTGTGTGACCTCTGAAACATTGGTAAACATCTACCAGACTACACGGCGCAAGAACCCAGAAGACAGAAATCTTCATACTCGCCGCCCTGATGATGGAGGCAGTATGACCTCTGAAACGTTGGTAAACATCTACCAGACTACACGGCGCAAGAACCCAGAAGACGGAAATCTTCATACTCACCGCTGTGAAAACCTCAAATCTTACATAATGTAATGAAATTTAACAGGGCATGAAGTACATGGAACATAGTCCTTCTAGAGAAGCTATTAGTTGCTCAGTTAGTCATTAAATTTCCCGCAATCTATGGATCTGTAAGGGTCATTACCGTGTTAACACGAGCCTCTGGTAAACTCTCTGTCAGAAAGAAACATGCACACATGTTGCACATTGTTCATTGGGGTTAAGAACACGTCCTCGTAATGGATGTAATCAATGGAAATACTTCAAGCAACGAACAATGATGTTGTGGACTGGATTCATTTGTTACATGCGTATCAGTAGGCGTGTTATGTCCGTCATTGCCCATTCTGATTGCGTTTGCCCACTAAGAAATTAAATCAGAAAACACAGTCATTTATTTTATGTTTTTGCACATCTCATGACATCATCAGACAAGCATTTTTAAACATGTGTTTCGAATTATGCTTACTATAACACATATTCATATGCGCATAAACTATATAAAGTATTTAAAATTTTAAAAATATATAAAACAATTATATTAAGCTTAATTAATATATTTAAATTAACACTACTGCTGTGCTATGCTGTGTATAGTATGTCCCTTATATACAAATTACAACCCAAGGTATTGGAATATCGTATTGTGTATTTTAAAATAAATTGCTGTGTTTGACAGACGTGTCACAAAGGTTTGTTGCAAACAAAGTCCGAAATATTGCGCAAACCTGTTGACTGACTCAGTCTTAAGCTAATTTCTGTTATAATCAAATCTACTCCCTAATATCTGACTACATTGAATGAAGTCATTCAAAAGCTAATAATTGCCCGAATTTATAACTTGTGTTGGGCAAGGCCGTGGTCTAGGCAACACGGAGTTTTCCTCCGGGGGCTTCCCCGGTTTCTCCGTGGCATCCCAACAATTACTCCATTCACACACAGAAGAAGGCAATGGCAAACCACTTCTGGATCATCTGCCAAGAACGTATATGAACAGGACCCAGTCCGAGAAAAGGATGGAAGGACCCTGTTCATATGGACCTGTCGTCAGACAGAACAAACAAAACTTCCAGTTTGTATAGAAAATCTTCTCAATATCAAAGTGCTGTTAGGTCAGTAAAATCGAAGACGTTGCTTTGGTTCAATTCTGAAGGGTTTTGACGGTGGTGGATTACACTTCAAATTGTTCATTATCTGGACTTTTTCCATCGTTCTTGTCTAAAAGAAAGAAACCGCGACGTTTCGGAAACTGGCTCTTATTACTTTGGGTTTCGTGTTGGAGGGAGCAGACAACAAACTTGCTTATAGAATTTTTCTGGGGGAAATTTTTGCAGACCGAAAAGTAGTCTACATTTGGATGTGACATAAATATATTTATTTCAGGAGAATTATTCGTGTTTTTTCCGTCTAATCACAATTGTATATAACGTGGTTCATACGAGTTCTGTGTATACTCATTGATAGACGTGATTACTCAGACAGTAGCAGATGAAGAATAAAATTGATGTAGTGCGTCGTTTCGAAATACTCTCCGATCAGTGTTTTCCTCTTGGGTCGAAATAAACCCTACCACATTTTCTTTCAGATTAGTCCCATTTCTTAGATAATGTTGACGGGTATAAAACGTCTGGTGACGTCAGACGGAAGGTCAGGTGAAAGGAAAAGACCGTGGGCAAATTAAGTCAGCTTGAAGACTGATGAAAAACTTGGAAATACCGAGTTTTATTCGTAATGCTTACGGATAATCTGTGACCAAAATACAAATCCGTTTACACAGCTGGTAGGTAGCAACATTTCACAAAATTATTTAACCTCGGCACTGTTTGCGATCCTCTTTGGACACTATGAAGTAAGCATTTTCTAAAATGTAATTCTGTTCATTACGTTACTGTAAGGAAGTCGTGTACCAGCCTTCACAGCAGAGGGGACAAAACAAGTGGCAGACAGGATGCAGATACCATACAACTGTCAGCGGAACTTAGGGCTTCTTATAAAGAGGTCTAAATGTGTGTACGATGGTCAAAGCCTCGTCAGTGACATTCTATGCTTGCTGTGTTCATTGTGTTCTGTATAGGCGCTGTGGAGTAATGAGCTTGTCCCTTGTGTTGTTCAGAGCCGAAAGTAAGTTATTCTGAGCCTAAAAACATACACAGCCCTAAATTCTATGAGCGTATAAAGTGTTTTTGTTGTTCCGTCGAAATATTTTCTGTTTTTTTATATTTTATTTAAATTGATCGGTGTGTGTCTGTGCTTTTGTGTGATACGAACATATTTATGATTATTCATAGCTCTTTCGTTTTATTGTTTGATTGCATTGTGTGATTCAAGCAAAATTATGTTTGTACCATGGGTCATAAAAACTTCACAGTTGGGTCAGAAGGTTGTGAGGGGAAATCAACAGGGGTATGTAACCCACAAACATATAGTATATCTCTTTCTGTGATTTGTTAATTTGTGGCTTATTTAAGGAACCTAAAGGTTCATTACTGTGCCTACAGAAGCCCAACATTGCCACTAACCGGAGCCAGATGAATCCAGTCTAAACTTTCATTTCCTGTTTCTTGAAGTCTGATTGTCCAATAAACGTAGGTTTCCTTTTTTTTATATACCAACCAAAATTTTATAGCGGTGCATTTAATACTTTATAATGTGTGTCATGCTCTTCTTCATAAAACACGTCTTGGCATATCTCCTCATTAATTTTATTCAGTCTCCTGTTAATTAATCCATCTTAGGTTTAAATAATCTCCTCAAACACCTCCAATCTAAATTTTTTAAAACGTTCAGACTAAAACATTCCTCAATATTTCCAAAAATAAACAGTCCTACCTCAGTTTTGGTTATAATTCCTTCAAAAGATCGTTTGCAATGTGGTATTTATTTAACGCTGGGTATAACCTAAGCCTACAGTTGTAAGCGGGCTGTTGCCCTATGTTCAAAATAGTAACATCTTAGATTCCTTTTTCAGCCTACCAATTTCTGATGATTATGTTATTGATACACAGAATTACCGAATTATTTTGAACCAAGTAGAATAAATTACATTTAGACTAGTGGTTAGCACTCCAGCTTCGTATATGGGAAGTCCCGTTTTCAATATTGGGCCCGGATAATGGCTATCCTTATTACACTATTCATCAATAGTCCTATCGTCCGACGTGAGAAACTCTGAGCTACTA